GCAGCGCCAGCGACACCGTCATCGAGGTCAACCTGCGCTACCCCGGCGACCGCGACCGCAACCTGGTATCCGCTCCTCGCTCCTCGCTCGCACACCTCGATCACCTCACTCACCACACATTACATTCATTATTACATCACTTACAATTCTAATACTATTGCTGTTACTATTACACTCGTATGAATGTAGTATTAAATCAGTAATATGACCCATGTGTTTTGCGCAGACGCATGGTCACAAGTGGGAGATATTCGTGAACCCGGTGGGCGTGGACGCGGCGGTGAAGGTGACCAACACGCGCTGCGTGGCCGGCGGCTACAGGTGGAACCCCTACTTCACGCAGCTCGCAGACCCGCTCAATGTCAGTGTCACATGGACCATCGTATTTGATATACTGACGTCGTCTTAATATTCTACATGTTGGTTCTTCAGCACGAGTTGTACGAGGCGGAGTGCGGCGCGGACAACCCGCTGCGCTGCGACGTGGGCGACCTCACCGCGCGCCTCGGCACTCTCAGTAACTTTACACTGCAACTATTATACACATGACAGATATTATTTCGATCACATTGCAAGGAATAGTAAGATATATTTTCCTTCAGCGATAGGAGGCGAGCGGCAGATGTTCATGGACAGCAACTTCCCGCTGGAGGGTGCGGTGTCGGCGATGGGGCGCTCGTTGGTGGTGTTCGGCGCGGGCCGCAGCGGGGAGCGCTTCGCCTGCGCCAACATACAGCCCGACAAGGACATCATCAAATACGTGAACATCATGAAGCCGCCGAGATTCGTGCTGTACGTATATTATTCAATAAAACAAGAAAAAAAACCCGCTGCTAATTTGTTCTGTGGTGTTAGACGTAAAGATCAATGTGGTTTAGGTAGACCTTCTCAAATAATGATCTGGTACCCAAGATGATTTCTGGGTTTGAACTGGATGAGGGTAGCGAGGATATCAGGGTATATCTACTTCAACTGTCGATGTATCCTTGAGAGTAAATGTCAGTGACATGTGTTGGTGCGCAGCGGCGCGTTCCTGGAGGAGATGCGCGCGGTGATGGGGGTGCCGACGTGGATGGTGGGGGTGGACGCGCGGCGCACGCGCGAGCTGCACCACGGCGCCTGCGTGCAGGTGCTGCTGCACTTCACCGGCCCCGACGCCAACAGGCTGGAGCTCGACTTCACCAGGTACACACTGCTCACTGCTCACTGCTCTAAACTAGTTAAACGCATAAACAGCTCAAGTAATGTATACTCATATTTTAAAGACTAATGATTTTTATTTTTGTATGTATTAAAATAGCACATAATATTTTTTTACGATTAAAAAGCTATGGTATCAGTGAGTAAGTAGGCTACATTTTTTATTGTTTTTTTTTTTTAACTTTACGCGAAAGAAGTCGCGAGAAACGCTTAGTCATCTATAAGAGGACTGTGTGTTATAAAAATTAAAGTTTGCTGCCGGGATGTTGTATAAAACACGTTATATATAATACAAGTCTTTATTCAGACAAAAGATAAACAATTCGAACATAATTCAATATAATTCTAAACATTTATTGTCCGTGTGCAATTTGAAAAAAGCCTCCTCCATTTTGGACCATAAGTTTCTATCCTTCGCAGTTCTTGAGTAGGCGCTGCCTGCTGCCGCTTTGATCACATCAATATACTCAATATACTCGATGGGTCGATGTGATCACATAGTTCTAAGTAATTTAATATGTACATATTGTGGTGTCGTGTCAGACTGCTGGCGTCGGGGCGGCTGGACTCGCCCAGCATCTTCATTCCGGGCTACGTGAACAGCAAGCGCAAGCGCACCACCTCGCACCGCCACTGCGGCGTCACCGACCCCAATGAGAGGAAGAGTTAGTACATATTATTATACTAAAACAATATTGCGTTTGAATGTTTGAAAAATCGAAAGCGATAAGTTCTTGAAAATCATATTTTTAAAACTATGGAAAATATCATTTAGCGCCATCTATTGACAAATATGTAAACTATGATCATCGCCAGCAAATCATCTGTGCTAGGTCTAGGCGTGGGGTGAGGTGGGGGGGGGGGGGGTTTGAAATAAAATGAGCTTGTTTGTAGATTTTTATTTGTTTTTTCTTTATAATAATAAAAGGTACAGGCGGGGTTTCACCTTAAAAGCTACAATCGTTTAACTTTTGAAACGAGCCGTGGAACAAAAATCAATACAACGTAGAATATAAATATGTATGAATTAAAATAAGTCGGTATGTGATACACGGCTAGTTGCTTTTATTGTTATCCCTTCGTTTGCACTCACTGCTATTTAATTAGTCATTTGTGGGATGACAGAGTTTGTGTCGTTGCAATGAACAGGGCAATTTTGTGTTGAAGTAGAACACAGCGGATTCCCGCGATTGTACGTCCATTCAACGACAAATTAACTACCTCATTTCATCATAATAATGTTAATTAGAAAAGTACGGAGAAAGGGACAATGACTATAGATTTTGTCCTCCGGATCACTCGATAGGCGAAATGAGGAAATACTTCCACATGTCTTTAGTGTTGTATTTCACCAGCCGTGTGTCGTGTGCGACAATCGTACAACAACATTCTCTATAATCTGCTAATGTTATTATTTTTTTCATTCCAGAAAGTTCTTTCTTCTCATCGCGGCAGAGTGCGCTGCGAGCGGCGGCGCGCCCCGCGCTCGCCATCTCTATGGCTCTAATCATTAGGCAATTTATGTGATTTATAAATTAAAGTTATTGTAAAAATGTTATTTAAGTTGTACAATAAATTATCATTTTGTAACTTGTTGTTTCATTTTAATTAAGTACATTTAACACGAATCTTTTTCACAAAGCTAAGTGAAATTTTAAAGGTTTTTTACTGTGAGCTACATAACTAGCTATAGCTATGTAATCCTATACTAAACAGTACAGTGAAAATTTAAGTAAATAGGATAGGCATAAAAACGAACGGGCCAACAGAGTACGCAACAAGTGTCTTTCTCCAGAGCCGAATTCGTAAGAACATTGCTATATTAGCGTTTTTCACCAGTCGTTGGGGCGTGGGCTGTGAGCTGTGGGCGACATGAGAACAAAGGGAAATGTTCTCGAACGTTCCCCAGCCGGGGAACATCCGTCGATATTGATTAATGCCAGCCACCGCCCGGCTGCCGAGCGTGGGATGCAACTCAAAATAAAAATACGAATCTAGGACATGCAACCTGCGCATTTGGGACCTAGGCGTAACCTGGGTCTAGAAAATTAAGATACCATCGTTTAAAGATAAACTCTATGACTGAGTGCTTAAGATAGATTATTAGTTGTGTTTTGAAAATAATCAATAATGTCACCAACGCATGCGCTGAACCGAACCAATGTAGGGTTTATAAGGGGCTCGGGGCACCCCAGCTCTCAGTCGTCGGAGTCATGCAAGTGGGGGCGGCAGCGTTCCTAGTGGCATGGCTGGTGGGGCTGTGCCAAGGGAACTTGGAGGGTCCGTTCCTGTTCTTCGGGCCCCGGACACTGGAGAAGTACAGGCGGACGGCGCTGCGGGCCCTGGAGCAGGATGACCTGATGCGGATCTACGGCGAGCAGCCGGCCATCGTGGTGTTCAACAACCAGGATGCTGTGCCGCTCTCCAGCGGGTACTTCCCCCGGCTGAGGAAGATGCTGGAGCGGCTGACCGTCATCGCGTTGCCGCAGGACTTCCTTGACGTGCACCCTGACTACGTCAGCAATGAGACTCAGGTAGGTGTACTTTACACAATTGTCACAATCAGTTGAGTCTACTTATATAACTTTTGCAATGTTAAAAAATCTAAGATTGAGAATACAGTCTCACATGCTCAGATAAATGCTTCAACTATTACCGAAAGTAAAAAAAAATGACGTCTTGACACTTTGATTTGTTGCTATTTTTACCTTTCATCCCTTTCTTAAAGGCCACCAAGGTAACAGATATTGATTAGACTTTTTGCGTATCAAAAAGTCAGAGGGCGGGGGGG